GGTCTCCAATCTGGCTACGCAGGGAGTTGGCTTCCTGATGGAGGAAGGGGAAGGAATGAACCCACAGAAGTGGATCTGCTATCTTCCTGCTGTAGGAAAGTGTGCACAACCCTGCCAAAAATGCACTGAATGTAACATCCTGATCAATCTCAAAGACTGACAGATATCACAGGAATAAACCCAAGTAGGGATCACATCAATTCCTCTCCCATGAAACTGAAACATGCTCACATTTCCTATAAGACTAAGTCCAAACTTTCTGGCACGTGCAGGTCCCACTTCATTTTGCATCACCTCTCTGTGGGTCCTGCTTGCCCAGCCACAGTGATCCATGGGCCATACTTAAATGTACCCTGCTCCACCACCTCTGTGTCTTTGCTCAGCCTCTTCCCTCAGATCAGAACACGCAAGTATTAAAATCCTCCTCCTTCCCATGACTTGCCTCTGAGAAGAGTCCCCTATCCTCTCTCAGGCAGACTGGATTGTTCCCAGAGCACACTGCTCGTGTGTCTCATACAGTACTTAGTTCCCTCTGCCTGTGTTATACACTACGATTTTACATGGCCATCTCCCCAGACTAGACACTAGACTGTGAGCTCTTTGAAGAGAAAGCCATGTCTTATTTCTTTTGTTTCCTCCATCTCTACCACCCAATTCAGGACCTAACAGTAACCAGCAGAGAGCAGACCTCAATAAATGGATGGCCTTCCTCAGCATCTCTACCACCTGCCCAACCCTCGCAGTTCACCCCACTCTTTGGTATGGGAATAGCATCATTATTCCCTGAGCTGACCTTGAGTTCTTCAGAGAAGGGTCCCAGCCCAGGGATCCTGACGGCAATTGCCCCCTGATTCCCAGTGCTAAAGGCTTAGCTCTGAAGCCTATTTTTTTTTTTCATTTTCTCTCACCTCCTCATGGTTCTTCTTGAGGCAGAGCAGCTCCTCCCTCAGGGACTCCACCTGGGCCTCCAGGTCAGCCTTGCACAAGGTTAGCTCGTCCAGGATCCTGCGTAGGCTGTTGATGTCCGCTTCTACCAGCTGCCGCGAAGAACGCTCCGACTCGTACCTGCACACACAGATCCGAGTGGGAGGATGAGCCGGGAAAGAAGCCGATCTCCCTGTACCACATCTTGTGTGGCTAGGACTATCCTGGCTCTCTGTGAACTGATTCGGTTTTCCACCTCTTCCCTTCCATGTTTCCCTCAAGCTCTGCATGAATAGGCTAGAGAAGCCCCTGACTCACCCTAACATCAGAAGGCACCCGTGGGGACTCACGAGATGGAGTCTCTCATTCTCCTCTCAATTTTGGTGGTTAATATTCCATCAAATCAATCCATTCCCCAAGAACAATTAATTTCAATTTCTGAATTTGACGGTTTAAGAAGGCCTTTCAGAAAGACCAATATAGACTGAAGAGCAGACAGCACATGAGTCTAGATCTCTGTTTGAAACTGGTTTTACATAACCATCCTTAAGAGGGGAAATAAAAAGGGAGAAATGGCTTTCTCTTCCCTTCCAGGCAATGTTAGGCCCATAGGGCCATGAAAGAGCCATAGGGGTCTTGCAGGTCAGCTGGCCCAAAAGTCTCAACGTACTTGGTTCTGAAGTCATCAGAGGCCAACTTGGCATTGTCAATCTGCAACACCAGCCTGGCGTTCTCAGACTTGGCAGATAGAATCTGAAAAGAAGAGTCTACTGTGAGGACCACTGGAATTTGAGAATGTCTTATTGTTCAAAGACAGCCAGCTCCTGCTGTGCCCCTATATGGACACCCTCCCCCTCACCTTCTGCTGGAGCTCCTCGATGGTGCGGAAGTAGGACTGGTAGTTAGCGCACACTCCCGGCTCCAGCTGCTGGCTCCGCTCCCGGATGCGGCTCTCCAGCTCTGCGTTGTCCCGCTCCAGCTGGCGCACCTTCTCCAGGTAGCTGGCCAGGCGGTCGTTCAGGAACTGCATGGTCTCCTTCTCATTGCTGTTGAAGGAGCCCTCACAGAACCAGCTGCAGCTGCCTACGTTGGCGGGGATGTTGCAGGCCCCGGGCAGGGTGCAGCTGCGACAGCTGGGGGGCACGCAGGGCCGGGAGGAGAAGCTGGAGCAGCAGCTCACGTTGGGCAGACAGCAGTTGTAAGGCATGGTGCTGAGAGAATTGACGGAAGAGCAGGTGAGCTGATGCAGGTGGACGTGGGTGAGGTTTGAGTCTCTCCTTCCTCCGTGGTCCTTTTATACTCTTAATGGTGGGTGGGGGCTTGGCATACAGCATAGTTTCCTAATTTTTCAGGTAATTCCTTTCAGCTAATTTTTTTTCCAAAATATGCTAGTTAGATGCCTCCAAAGAGTCTCCTCTCATCCCATAAAATTATTCCATTCAGCTGTGTCACACCAGGGTCTTCCTAGGTGCTAGTGGTTGGTGAAATCAGAGTTTCATCAGATGGCTTCAAAGGAGGCAGAATCATCACAGCCCCAAGTGGCTCTCCCCATTACTCAGAAGGGAGGACAGTCAGGGACATGGGGTGGAGTTGTTTGGGACTCCTCACTCATGAGGTTCTGCCACTAGACTCCCTAGAAAGAGAGTTTGGAGTGAACAGTCTTCTGGGTGGCCCTTTTCTCCCCAGTCTACCCACATTTCAGTGTTCAGTTCAACTTGGCTTTATAGCAGAAACTTGTCGTGTATTAGCTGCAAGCATCCTGAGCCTTACTCAGTATGAGTGTTAGCTGGGGCTTAAAACATTTGTCAATACATGGAGAGACTGAAAATAATCAAGTATTGATGGTTGGGAAATGAAATCGTCTGGTTGGATGAGAATAACATTAAAGCAGAGATCAGCAAACTATGGCCCACAGGCCAAGTTTGGCCTGCTGCCTTTTTTTGTAAATAAAGTTTTGTTGGGCCACAGCCATGCTCATTCATTCAGGTATTGTCTATGGCTGCTTCTGTGCTACAATGGCAGGGTTGAGTAGTTGCAACAGAGACCATATGACCCGCAGAGCCTACAATATTTAACATCTGGTTCTTTACAGAAAAAGTTTACCTGCACTGAAGCAACAATCTCCCTAAAGATGAGAAAGAGAAGAAATATCTAGAAAGAAAATTATGCTGGGAATAGTCCACAGAGTGAGAGATCCAGTGGCAGTGTTGAGACATAAATCTGAAGCATAATACTTCAGACTCATCAAGAAAGGAAAATCAGAATGAGATACTAAGAGCTATCTTTGCATCATGGTGACCATATCTCAAAGTTTCTGGAAATTTCTCTCACCTTCTTCCTAGACTTACTCTTATTTCTGAGAGCACTGAATACCCCTCGAGTTGTGAATCTGCCAGCCTGAGATGCTCTCAGAACAAGGCACAGAGACTCTGTCGTCCCTAAGATGTAAAGACCGTCTCTGATGAGTGATCACCTCTCCATAACCTCTGAGATCAGAGACCCTTTGACTCTTCCAAACCTTTGTGAGTCTCCCTATTGCCCAATAATGCATCTTATCAAAGTAGCCCTCCCCATCTCACCTTCTAAATTCTGTCACTCTACCTCTCCTTTGTTCTGCACAGAAACAAAATCATGGTTCAGAAAGAAGTCCAAAAAGATTATTTGTGGAACACAGTATGAGTCATTCAAGAAGGATTTGTCCAGATTTCAAAGGCAATGTGGGAGGAACAGAAAAGCACACATTTGGAGCTAAAGGACCTAGGTTCACATCCTTACTGACAATATGAGCTCAGAGAAGTTCCCTTTATTGACTCTCGTTTTTTTCATCTCTTAAATTGAAGTAATAATAATGCTGTCCACTTTATAGTTTTGTTGTGAAAGTTAAGTAAGATATTGTGTGTAAATATGGTTAGAGGCGGTGGTGATGATGATTATGTAACGTTCCCCCTACTATTGTTGGCTCAGATGAAGAATTTTGTGAATATTCAATTTTGTTGAGCAGACACTAGGCACGTTGCCCATGCCAACTCAATGGTGATCAAACCTCACTCGCTTACCTTGCAAGCGCTAGGGACACAGAATTATATTCATAGATTAATCAACAAAAATGCAAGTTTTGAACATGGTGGCTGGAATAGGAAGTTGGCAGATGGCCCATTGTCCCAACCTTCTCTGCTAAGTTCCTGATCTTGTGGGTTTGGTTATCTTATTTGGGGTGGTTCTTGGGGGTGACAAGTTCTCTACATGGGGTTGTATTGCCACCAAAGCCTCCTTTCTTGTACTGGCATTGAAATGGGTTCTATTCATCCTCCGGGAATCCTCCAGCCTTACATTTCTGTGCAAGCATTCATAGTAATGATGATGGTGGTGGTGGTAGTGGTGTTGATGATGAGGGAGATGATGATGATACCATTTCATGTATACTTATTATGTGCCAAACAGGATGCTAAGTGCTATGGCACATTTCTCATTTGATTCTCCCAACAGCTCTGTAATATTGGCCTATAAAATTATTCCCATTTTACAGATAAATTAACAGATTGGGAAAGGCTCAGAATTTTCCCAAGACACAGCCAATAAGTGGCAAAGCTGGGACTTGAACAATTCAGATGTCTAACTCCTAAGCCTGAATACCTAAACACAGTGCAAACGTTTGGCACAGAAGCTTCTCTGGCTTTGTGAGGGAAAGGAAATCTTAAATTCGTTTCTGCTCATTGCCCCTCTCTTTATAGTTTTTGCGTCTGGTCCTCACTGGGGCCCAGTTTCCCAAACCCTCCATTCCCCATCAGTCCTCCAAAGGCCTCTCGGCCCAAGCAGCCCTCTCACCCAGTTACTCTCTATGGTACCTTCCTGAACTAAGACCAAGTTATGCTAATTAACTTTTCTCTACAGGGAAATAGCCATCCTTTTTCATAATTGGTTGATATGTCCAGATTGGAAATTAGATTGCCTTTTCTTGGCATCTAAGCAAATGAAAATGCACAATGGCATGACCTAAGGTGATTTAGAATCTGAGAGAAAGCCTACCTGCCTAGCCCTAAACTTTTATCCCTGTAGTATTTCATCTCAAAGATAAGTTCTGTTTCCTAGAATCAAAGAAGTCTATTGCTAGAAAGAACTGAATTTATGGAGGAGAAAACTGAGGCCCAGAAAGTGAGGTAGGAAGGAAATTAATATCAATAGATCACTTTCTAGTCAGATAGTCTACTAGGACCCTCCACTCATACTGTTCCATCCTAACCCAAAATGCTGGGTGTTTGGATTCCATTATTGTCACCCTGTATCAGAGATGAAGAATCTGAGACACTGGGAAGAAATTTAACATGTCCAAATGACACAAGTAAGTAGACTCAAGTCTCCTGGCCCATCACACCTCGTTGTGAATTAAAGAGATGAGACGCTGCCTAGTCAGTGTGTCAAAACACAAGAACTGGGGGAAAACATGGAAACGAGATCATGAATTCCAATGCCAGCTCTGAGTACAGCCAGGAAGACACACCTAGGCTTCCTACGTATTGCTTTGCTCCTCAGTAAAATGGGGGTTAAAAAATGACAAATGCCACAGCTTGTGATGAGGCGTGACTCCTGGAAGTAATGGGATGGGCTTTTATAGAGGAAAATGCTGAGCACTCCTGGACAGCCTTGCTCTTCCTGTAGATGCTGACAGCCTCACGCCTCGAAGACTCAAACAATGACTTTGACTCCAGATATAACAATGAAAAAAAGTGCCTTAGCTCTACCCCATAGCAAATATAAAATTTTCAGGGAAACTGAAAGGAAAAGAATCAGGAAAAATATTCAGGATACAAGGCTAGGGGAAAGCCAAACGTCTGAGAGTGATATGCCCAGTGGGCTTAAGAGTTCAGACCAGGACAACCCAGAAACTGATAAAACAGGTCACCAAAGGGCACTGGACATGCCAACCGAGAAGAGACCTGAGACCCCAAACAGAAGATGGGCCTGGGACCAAACAGTATCAAATAATGCTGAGCAGAGCATATACTCTTGGTGCAGAGCAAGATGGGGGATTTCAAGAAGAAAGAAATGGTGGTGTGAAAGACAACAGGATGATATATAAATTCTACTCTTGGACATGAAGCCAAAAAAAAAAGATAACCATACTTTTCTATCCTTAAGAAGCTTAACTTGGTGTTAGGTCAGCAACAACCAAAATGATTAACAATCCTAATAAAAATGTCTAGTTTACAAAGTGTCCATAAACACAATCTTGCATGATCCTCTTGGCAAGTGTATAAAGCAGGTAGAGAAGATACTGTTATCTCCACTTTAACTTTGGGGAAACTGAGGCTCAGAGAAGCTATGTATCTTGTCCAAAGACACAGAGCTCATGAGAGGATAAGTCAGAACTAGAACCCAGATTCTGCTAAATGGGTTGCAACCTGGCTCATTGGAATCACCTGTAGAGCTTCTCAAACTCCCAGTGGCCAGGCTGCATCCCAGGCCAGGAAATCAGACTGAGGGCAGACTCAGGCCACAGCATTTTTTTTAAGTTTCCAGGGTGATTCCAAAGCACTACCAAGGCTGAGAACCACTGTTCTCAGTGTGCATTTGATGATGATGACAGAGCACCTGGGAACAATTTCAAAGCCATATAGAGATGTTTAAGGGAATGTAGTACACATATATTTACAAAATCAAGGTGTAGCTACAAAGATCAAAATTTTTGTTTTTAAAAAACATGGCAGAATTTACAAATCCAAAAAGATTTGTTTCTGGACAGAATCTCCGTTTATTCCAGGGCTGCCTTCTCTGTTCAAAACATGTTTGGAACTTTCTGTTGTGGCAATGTCTGTATCTTTTTAATATCCAGTTTGTTGATAGCAACCGTTTGTCCTCTAAGGGTGGATTTGCTTTTATGGAAGCTATTCAAAGAGAACCTTGTGAATAAGGTAGACAATCAAGTTAGATAATTTCCAAAAAAAGAAAAACACCTCCATATGACTATGGCTTGTAATTGACTCTAAAGCCAATTCCTAAAGATACTTGTCAAAAATTAGTTGAAATCTGTGTGTAGGGACCAACTCTGAAGAATGTCGTTGACCTTGATGTATTCGTTCTGCTCTGATTTTTTTAATCATTCTCCGTACTTTACAGTCGTGTCTTATGTGCAACTATAGCTAGAAGCCAGTTCAGATCCCATAGTTGTTAATCACCAACTGTGATTACAAGCAAATTTCCAAGGCTCAGTTTCCTTATCTGTAAAATGGGTTTAATTTGCAGCATTGTTATAAGATTACCTCCTAGTATTTTGCCTGACCCACAGGTGATGTTCAATAGACGTGAGCTGTATTAGTTTCCTACTGGTACAGTCTTAAATTACCACAAATTTAGTGGCTTAAAACAACACAAATTTATTGTCTTAAAGTTCTATAGGTCAGAAGTCTGACATGGGTCTAAAACCAAATTTTTATTCTTACCGGGTTAAAATTAAGGTATCAAGTTGCATTACTATACTCTAGCATGGACAATCAAAAAAGGAAATTAAGGGGCCAGCCCTGTGGCTTAGTGGTTAAGTGTGCACACTCTACTTCGGATTTCGCAGGTTCAGAACCCCGGGCGCACACTGACGCACTGCTCATCAAGCCGTGCTGTGGCAGCATCCCATATAAAGTAGAGGAAGATGGGCACAGATGTTAGCCCAGGGCCAGTCTTCCTTGGCAAAAAGAGGAGGATTGGCATTGGATGTTAGCTCAGGACTGATCTTCCTCACAAAAAAAAAAAAAGAAAGAAATTAAGAAAAAAATACGTTTACAATAACTTATATGAGGTACCAAGAGTAGTCAAATTCATTGAGACAGAGAGTAGAATAGAGGTTGCCAGGGGCTGGGTGCAGAGGGGATTGGGAAGTCATTGTTTAGTGAGTACAGTGTTTCAGTTTGGGATAATGGAAAAGTTCTGGAGAAGGATGGTAGTGATGATTGCACAACAATGAAATGTACTTAATGCCCTTGAATTAAACACTAAAAGTGGTTAAAATGGTAAACTTTATATTGTACGTATTTTACCACAATATAAAAAAACATCAAGATGTTGGCAGGGCTGTGTTCCTTCTGGAGGCTTCAGGGGACAATCCATTTCCGTGACTTTACCAGCATCTGGAGGCCATCCGCATTCCTTGGCTCATGGCCTCCTTCCCTCATCTTCAAATCCTGCAACGACAGGTGAATTCCTTCTCATATCACATCGCTCTGACCTCTGTCCACAGTCATATCTCCCTCTCACTCTCTTCTGCCTCCCTCTTCTACTTTTAAGAACCCTTGTGACTACATTGGGCCCACCAAATAATCCAAGATAATCTCCCCATCTTAAGGTCAGCTAGTTAGCAACTTTAATTCCATCCACAACCTTAATTTCCCTTTGTGTGTAACCTAACGTATTTCCAGGTTCTAAGAATTAGAACGTGGACATCTTTGGTCAGGGAGGGGGAGCAATTATTCTGCCTGTCACAAGAGCTATTAGCATTACTTTTGCACTATTATAAAATAATATATGTAAGCAGGATGTGGAATAAAGGAATAAGCAAAATTAGGAAGGGCCTCTGGACTTAGCTTGACCTTGGATTTGGAGGAAATCACAGACATGGTGGTGAATCACATCAGGGAAGGAATTCTGGGTCAGAGGCTTCTCACACGCCAAGTAGCGAGGTGTGTAAATCTGAATCCATCCTGGAACTTGAGCTTGAAAAATAAGAATCAAGGGAATAATTATGGTAGAGAAGATAAATAGTTGTTTTATCAAAAAAATATATGGGGCCGGCCCGGTGGCATAGTGGTTAAGTTCACGTGCTCCACTTTGGTGGCCCAGGGTTGGGGCTCAGATCCCAGGTGGGGGCCTACACGCCACTCAGCAAGCCATGCTGCGGTGGCGTCCCACGTACAAAATAGAGGCAGATTGGCACAGATGTTAGCTCAGAGACAATCTTTCTCAAGCAAAAAAAAAAAAGGAAGATTGGCAACAGATGTTAGCTCAGGGTCAATCTTCCTCCACAAAAAGAGGAAGATTGGCAACAGAGGGTTCGCTTAGGGCCTGTCTTCCTCCACAACAACAACAACAACAAAAAATATATATATATATAATTTCAACCATGTGGTTCTTTCAGTACACAAGACTGTGTTTCACCAAAGTGGGGTTCTATACCAGCCTCAGAAAGCCTGGTGTGATGGGGTAGGTTAGTTGGAAAACGTCGAGACCTGGGTGGTCTCTGATGACTTCATATCAAAATGGTCCTCTGAGGTTTTAGCAAGTCAATGCTTATCACTTCTGTGATTCTTCCTTTGAGTTAAAGACAGACACTCTTTCTTGATGAACACTGATGTCACTTTCAGTATTCCTCGCAGCACCAGCCTGACTGTTGACAGTGCCAGGGACCGTGCCTTATAATAGCACTACTTGGGGACCAGTTTTATCCCTTTTAACAAATTGTAAATAATTTGTAGCCAGGACTGTGTCTTTTTTTATGTGTCTCTCCCCTCCCCACCATCCAGGGTCTGAACAGAGTAGGTGTTCAACAGGTACTGGTTGGATTGAATTGAGAAAGGCAGAAGTATCAAATGAAAAGTTGATGGGATCTCTGAGCCCCAGAGCTGGGAGGGGAAGTGAGCAGCTGGAGCCCAGGCTGGCAGTGATCCATCTGCACAGGGGTAAGGAGGACATCCTGGGCACGGCAGGCAAGCGAGAGGGTCCCTTCGCTGGGTGGTCCTGAGGCTGCCTAGACCACCAGTAACCAAGATAACATAGCACTGGACCTAAAACTTCCTGCTAAGAAAAGATGAGCTTTCCAGAGCTTCTTTCCAGCACCCAGCTCACGCCTCCTCCCTTCAGATTTGGATACAGTCGGCTCTAGAAGACGTCCAGGTCAAGAGGGAAGAGTGAGAAGATGCAGGAATGGTCAAGAGGAGAGAGGAGCCACAGCACTGCTGCTGCCCTGTCCTCCCTCCTGCCACCTTGCCTCACCCTTGGGTCCAGAGCACCAGGCCAGCCAACTGCCCGCCAGGCATGGAACGGTTCCTGTATCCAAGAGTCAGGCCATTATATGGCCTGACCCTCCAGTGCTTTTTATAGAGCACTCAAGTGATGGGCACGGCGAAACAAATGAATACCAATGAGAAAGACATCTGCTTTGCCAGGGAAATCAAGTTTATTAGGAGGTTACAAGGGAAAGCCGCTGGCACTTGGGAGGGTTCTCTGGGCAAGCAAAGAAGGAACAGACACAATGAAGGAAAGGGTGGGCAGGGAAAGTAGGGTGGGAAAGGGTGGGCTGGAGTAGGCTGGGTGAGTTTCTTGGCTGCCTTACTGGGCAGCTCCAGCCAGGCAAATTGTGTTTTCAGGCCCTTTTTTTCAAATGAGCCAGTGCCAGGTCAAAGCCCTAGAGCCTCAGGCCCTGCCTCCTTGCTCCTCTGGCAGCCCCGGGCTCTAGCGCACAAAGGTGTTGCAGGGCCTGCAGCGGGGGCGGGGGGCACAGGGCGTGCAGGGCACAGGGGGCACACAGGGGGTGCAGGGATTGGAGACGCAGGACCCGAGGGACTTGCCGCACGCGTTGGTTGTGGCGCAGGGGTTGCAGGGCAGCCTGGAGAAAAAGAATGATGTGGAAAGGTGAATGGAGGGAGGCTTGTAATATAGACCAGAGAGACCCCAAGAGTGGAATGCCTGTGGGGGCTTGGCCTAACCTACAACAGAGAAGGCCACAGGCTTCCCCGCTGCAAAGCTCGCTATCAAATTGCTAATGGTCTCCTATCACAGAGTGCCAACGCACTGGACAGAAACTCTAACCCTCTGGCTTTGACTCCAACACTGTCCCCTCTGAGCTGATGACCTTGGGCAAGTCACTTAACTTCTCCACGCCCCAGTTTCTTCACCTATAGAATGAGGAGAATACTGGTCTAGCCTGCCTGGTAGTCACCGTGAGGTCAGATAAGGTAGTAGATGGAAACGTACCCTCTACACAATACAGTATTATAAAATGCAAGAAATATCATTGATCTCATATCAATATTATCATGGTAGAATGCAAAGAATTGGCTGTACAATTTCAGTTTGGACATCAAACAATTCTTGCCAATTTATGTTTTTAATGACAGCTGTGTTGTGTTTTCTGAGTCCTGTTTGAGCATGTCTGGTGTAAAGGTATAATTTCCTTTCCAAGGTATGCGATCTTTGGCTGGAGTCCAACTGAGAAGTAGCGATGTGTGTTGGGCTTCATTAGCTACCTCCAGCTGGGTACTCACTTGCAGTCCTCGCTCTCCAGCAGGCCCCGGTACGTGTTGATCTCACTCTCCAGCCGGGCCCGGAC